ACGCAATGTGACCCCCGGCCCCCTCTCCACTACCAAAACGGCCGATATCTTGTTGGCCATTGAACCGAAAGTGACCGGCATTTTGACCCAAACCACAAACAAATTGGCGTCGCGTTCGTTAGATTCAAAGATCTTCGATCCGTTCAGTATATAGTGTTTGCCGTCCGGCGAGAGAACGGCACGAGTTTTTATGGATACAAAATCCAAACCTATCGCTAAAAAGACAGATATATTTTGGGCTTAAAAATTGTGTTCAGAGATATAAGTAGTGACCGAATCATTACTAACCGGGAAATATATTATCATTAACACAGAATCCGCCAATCCTTTTACCTGAGGCCAAGTCTGGCAACCATTTCATCTTATGCTGAGCGGTGCCTAACATTTTTATAGTCTTATAAACCATGTCTTGCCAGACATTCGGGCCTTTCTGTGCTCTCATAAAACCGAAGTCGTCGGCGCTCACCCGTACCCCATACGAGCCCATCTCTCCCAGTATTGTCCACACATTTTTGTTGGCAATCATCGGTTCCGTCCATTTGCACCCACAGGTGATCGCCTTCTTAACCGTCAATATATCATCGGCTAAAAGCACGTGAGGGCTCTCAACCTGTTGGCCATCATTGCATTGCCGGCCAATCAATTTCATCATAAATGATGGAATTGTCTCAGATTTGGCCCACCATTTGGCGCAGTCTTTGAACGCCACGTCTGCACCCGTGGGTGAAGTGGACTGATGTCTGAAAGGGTGGTTAGAAATTATGATATATTTTCATAGTATTATTTTATTCCTAATATTCACTTCAAATATATTACAATGAATTATAGAAATAATGTACTCAATTACAATGAACCACTCTTTATAAAGCCTATTAAATTAATTTATATGTATGATAAGTATGTAGAGTTAATTTATAAAAATATTAATAAACATTTAAATAGTAACTAAAATTATTTCCCGGGTTCTTTCCCGTAAGTGTTGTTAACTATAACGAGTGTACACTATATGTTAATTGAGATATAAATGTAATCAATTACCGAATAAATGTCTGAAAAGTGTTGACATTTTGCCAATTATTCCGTCGATATATTTGTCGCAAACTTTTGCTTACAATCAATGAATTCATCGCTTTATTAAACTAATTTTTAATTAAAAATTAATTTTATTGTGTGTTAATATTAATTATAAAATATAATAGTAAAATAAAATTTTTCAATTTCATATTTGACCTTAGCGTAATATTTGCACAGAATTAATGTGTAGAATAAATATTTTTTATAATTTTTCACTAAAATTAAACCCATAAAACATTATAAAATATATACAAAATTTCAATAATCAAAAATAACTCAAAACCTTTTGTTATATTTGAGTTTAAATCACCAAAATTAAAATTATATTACCGGTATAATTTTATCACAATATGATCGTAAAGATTGTAAAATATCACTATAATATTATTTTACATCAATTCTATGTGAAATTCAACGCTGAGATCAAATACAATTTTAATCAAAATTAACCACAAACTCTTATAAGCCTTTATTTCAACTTTATTTCACTAAATTTGTATAACGTTTTTAACGGCCAACAAAAAAGGTATACAAATTCCTAACTATTGCAAAGTTTCACTGAATATAACACACAATTATAGGTAAGAGGCGACCGACAGTCAGGGGTCTCACAAGTGAGAGATTCACATAAAATATATGAGGTTTAATGGATTGAATGCTTTATTGACCAAAACTACCCAATACTGAAAGGCGCAACTCAAACATAGATAGCGGGCACAACCATTTTGTTTTGGCCGGACTGTACGCACACACATTGATCGCTGCAATTTATAATCAAAATAATATTTATGTTAATGAAAATCATTTTGATAAAACAAAATTATCACCAATTCAGTGGGTTATTGGGGGAAAGCGGCACCTGATTGATATAGGGTCGGAGAGAGGGGTTAATCCATTAGGTACAATAGCATCTAATTTACATAAAATAGCGGCAAAAGTTGGCTGATGCAATCTCCATGGACATTTACTAAGCATTCAATTTTGAAACTTAAATAAAGTTTATTATGGTCAATATAACTCGATACCAGTATGTTTTAAACACCCCCCACATTATATTATCTCCGTATTAAGACTACAGTATATTTATAATTATTACCATGTTTTCAATTACTATATTTAAAATCTAGTCTTAAAACAATTACTTTCATTAAAAGTTAGTCAAGAATTTGTTTTATTTAATAAAATATGTGAATAATAATAATTATAATAATGTTAACAATGAATTCTATGGCCAGCACTTCAGCCCAGGGGGTGATTCTGGACAACCCCTCCGTTGTTGAGCACCTCTGCGGCGATCTCTTTCATTGTCGAGTAGTTCTTCAGGTCCTGAGTGCCTCGAAGTTGACTCAGATTTGTTGCTATCCGTACCGATGCTTATGTAAACTATAGTAAATCAGTGCTAATTAAACGTCAGTTAAGAATTTGTTTTATTTAATAAAATGTTTTTAACTATTAATATAAAAATACACACAAATTATATGTAAATTATTGTTTCGCAGTTTTAAATAATGTTATTTTGTAATGAAATTTGCTGTAAAACATAAATTCATTTAATAATAATATACTTATAGATATATAATAATTTATTAATAAAAATTTGTAATAATTTTTGTTTTTGTGGACATTTAATGTCCGGAAATAAATGAAAAATAAAATAAAACACGAGATAAAAAACAGTTTACGATAATAATTATAATAATGTTAACAATGGATTCTATGGCCAACACTTCAGCCCAACGGGTGATTCTGGACAACACCGCCGTTGTTGAGCACCTCTTCGGCGATCGCTTTCATTGTCGAGTAGTTCTTCAGGTCTTGAGTGCCTCGAAGTTGACTCAGATTTGTCGCTATCCGTACCGATGCCTACAAAATAAACAATCAATTATTACAGTTGTTTATAACGAGAGTAATAAATAATAAACTAATAGTTTGACATTAAGAATACAAACAATCATCGATATGGGGAACAAAAAAGGTTTAAGACATTTAATCCAAAACCACAAGTTGTTCACAATATAAATCAATTGCTGTATTATTAATGACACATATGTGTCCACAACCGGTCAGGCAGACAACCCCACGGCCGCCACTAATCCTATACCTCATTGCAAAACAGATCCGCGATCTTCTTCTCAATCCCAGCGCTCGACAGGTTCTTCTCCAGAGCTCTGGACGCGCGGCTCAGCACTACTACAGAGGCGTAGATATCAATGGCCGCGTCGGCCAGTCGTCGCTGAAGNAGAGAGAGAGAGAGAGAGAGAGAGAGAGAGAGAGATTAAAGTATAATTACTATTTTAGCACATATGTAAGCTTCTATTATGAGAGAAGGGAATGGTATGTGTAAATACCTGAGCATATAAGCCATGGATTCGGTGACGTAATGCTTAAGAGTCATGCGCGCGATCTTCTCTTGAATATCACCAAAAGTGGACAACTTTTGTCCGAATTGGGTTCGGGTGTTGGCGTGTTCTGTGGCCTTCTCTATACACGTCCGCATTGAACCTGTAGGTCATCGACGAAACAGTTATGTATTGATCAGTAATTTAACAAATTATTGTACTAATCGGCCGCAAAGTAGGCACTACTAGACTAACCTGCGAGTGCGCCGGCCATACCGAACCGGCCGTTGTTCAGTATGTTCATGGCCACTTTGAAACCGCCGCCCACCTGTCCCAACACGTTCTCCACGGGAATCATCACATTGTCGAAGAATACTTCGGTAGTGTTTGAGGCCATTATACCCATCTTCTTGTTGGGCGGCCCTGAGGTCAGGCCCGCACCCCTCTCGACCACAAAAGCGGTCACTTTGTCTTTGCCGCCGTCCGCTGCGGGTGTTTTGGCGAATACTGTAAATATGTCGGCAATGCCTCCGTTCGAGATCCAGATCTTCGAGCCGTTCATTACAAAGTGTTTGCCGTCGGCTGAGAGGACGGCCTTTGTTTGGATACCACTCGCGTCCGAACCTAACCGTGTAATCAATCAAAGTGTTAAAAATCATGTAATTGGGACCAAAAAATAAGTGGCCACTTACCGGCCGACGGCTCCGTTAAACAAAAACAGGCAATCTTTTTGCCGGCGGCCAAGTCTGGCAACCATTTCTTCTTCTGGGCGTCGGTGCCGTACAGTAGTATACCCTTAAACCCGATGGACTGGTGGGCGCCCAACGCGACACCCAAACTGAGATCATAGCGACCCATGATTTCGCCCAAACGGCCGTATTGTGTGTTATTGAATCCGATGCCGCCGTACTCTGGGGGCACTTGTATGCCAAACGAGCCCATCTCCTTCAACATTGTCCACAGTTTCTCGTCGTACGCGTGATTCTCCTCAAACCTCAGCGCGTCCTCCGGTTTCCACGACTTAGTCATGGGTTCGGTCACCATCTCTACCATTTGGATCTCTTCGGCGTCGAGCACTTGCGGGTATGGGAACTGTTGGATCACTTTGCCTTCGCCGCAGAACAGGTTCATCACAAATGATTGCGTGGTCTCAGCCGCGCGGCGCTCGCGTTTGGCCTTAGGGTCGCCATCGGCGGCCACTTTCGCCGCATTGGACTGATTTCTGGGCGATAAGTGGGGGTTAGATATCAATTGGAATTTTTATATGTTATATAAGTAGGCGGTTATGAGGGAATGGGTGGCCGGGGGTGTAAGGGGTGGGGGTATAAAACCCCTTATATATTATGTATATATTGTATGTAAATGTGTAATAATGAATGTCATACTGTTTGAAAAATCTTTGAATCTTTTCCAGAACGGTATAATGTCTTTGAATGGTCACCGAAAACACATCCGTGTAATCGGGTGTTCATTATATCCCATATTTAGTGTATTTCCAATTATTAGTGTTATTTAGTGTATGTTTTTTCGGGGTTTGGTTTTTACGGTCACATAAAATGTGGACACAAATCGACACAAAAAAAACATTTACGGAGAGAGAGAGAGAGAGAGAGAAAGAGAGAAAGAAAAGACATTATGGTTAACATACATATAGTGTACAACAAACCACAATAGAGTGAACACATTAAACAACAATGTATTTATACAAATAGTGTACTCGTTTATAGTGAACCTGTGGACAGCCTATTCTGGGAAAGTGTTTGAAAAGTTACTAAAATTAATTACTAAATACACTAAAGTGTGTAAAATTATATCCCTTGTTATCGGGCCATACGGTGTGTGTTTCGGGTGAGTGTTGTTCACTATAACGAGTGTACACTATATGTTAATTGAGATTTAAATGTAATTAAAT